AATGAATAAAACACTTACAAAGAAAATAACAAAAGATTCTCTTAGAAATCTAAGTGTTACAAATAAGGAAGAAAAATGCCAGAAAATGGATGTACAAGCTTACACTCCTGCTAATTGCAAATTCAAAACTCCAGCTGGATTGGTTTAAGTACCTTTATTTTGCACAGTAGCCATAACAAGTATGTCACCTGCTAAAATAAACGAGCTTATATCTTCACCTTCAAGAATATCAAGGGCAAATAGAGAAACTGGTACTCCAGAATTTAACGTAGAACCAGTCGTTAACATGGAAGGTGATATATCAACAAATGACAAGAAGAGTGATACTGATTATGCAGAAAGTAGTTCTTTGATAAAAGGTGCATTCTATGATGAAGAAAAAATATTTAATTCTTCTAATAATAATAGTAGCAATAATGACAAAGAGATAAAATTTAACAATGATAATATAATACATAACAGTAAAGAATATAACAAGGAAGTGCACAATAGTGATAAGGAAGTATTTTCTTTCTCAAACAATAACATATCTATGTCGTTAAAATCTGATTCTCCAAACGAACCAGTTTTCTTTTCACCTTATATAGTTTCTAGCTGTGGAAAAAGCAATGCTAGAAAAGAACAACAATTAAAACGTGGTTTCAGTCTTGGTCACTCACCAAGTACCGATGTTCCTACAAAAGATACTGTCATGAAAAATTTAAATATATCAGTTGAAGAAGAGGCACATACTGCACAATATTTTCAATTTCTTCTAAACAGAGAAATAACCAGATTAAATGAATTATGTAAAAAATGGACAGAAATTAAAGCAAAACCTGAAACTACAGAGGATGGACAATATGAAATAAATCAAACTATTGGCCAAACAAATTTGTTAATAAGCAAAAAGTTTGAAAGATTTTGTGGATTAGTTGCTGATTGTGAGACAGGAAAAGGAGAAATGTTAGTTACATGTAAAGATTTGCAAGGATTTTGGGATATGATGTATATAGAAGTAAAGAAATGTGATTCACAATTTGAAAAATTAGAGACTCTTTGTTCACAAGGCTGGAAGAAAGAAGAATTACCTGTTGGCAAATCCATTGCTAAAAAGAAATCTACTGTAAAAAGAAATGTATTCACAAAATCAAGTTCTATCAAAGCGTTTTTAGCAAAAAAGAAGCAAAGGATGTCGCGAGAAATAAAACATAATCGTGATATGAAAGAAGTTGAAGTTACAAATAATCAAATTCTGAGTAATAAATATGGAAAGGATGAAAGCTTTTATATAAAATATAAAACAAGAAAGTTTATGTATAGTACTCTTAATCGAAAAGATTATGCACCTATCAAAGATGATAAAAGATTAAGTCTATTGCAAAAGGTATGTTTGTCTGAAACATTCAAGAAGATAAAGAGTCCATTAATCAGAATGGAAGTAAGTGAAGAGTGTAAAACACCAGAGGTACACTTGGATGATACAATATCTTATGTTAATTCTGATCAAACACCAGGAAAAAGTATATTGAAGCCATTAAAGAGTGGAAGTGTAGCAGAATCTCGTATGAAGTCAACAAACAAAGTTAATTTTGATGATCATATAGTTTTAAATGAAGTACCAATTGATGAAGAAACTCAGACAAAAATGGATTTGGCTGCAGCATTATCAAGAATAGATAGTTTTAACTTTGACAGTCATGGTGAAGTAATAATTAGGGCAGAAAGAAAACTTATATTTAATGATAATAGTTCTGATGAATCTGAAGAAGATATTGGACATTTTAAATGGAAAAATTCTATAACACCATCTGCAACAGCATTACCAAGATCAGAATTAGTTAAAAATCTTAGCACACCTTCACCAAGGAGAAGTTTAAGAAGACAAAATACTTTTGATGAAAGTGATGAGATTCTACATAAAACTTCACCATTGAAAGAAATTGCAGATGATACAAATTTAAACACATTAAAAAAGGAATTACAGAAACATGTTTCTATAAGCAAGAAACAAGAAATAATGGAACAGGATGAAAGTATTAGAGTTTTACGAAATAGAACTGTCACAGCAATTGGTACACCTATAGCTAAGAGGAAAGCCTTAAAAGAAATGTCTACTGCTATCCAAGAATCAGAACATAAGGAAAATAAACCTCTTTCAGGGAGAAGAAGAAAAAGTTTTATTAAAGGCAGTATTAATGAAGAGGAAAAAATGAATTTACACAGTTTGATTGATAACAAGTCTTTAGAAGAAAGGAATGCTAGGAGAAGATGCACTAGAAATGTCAAATTTTTGGGTATGGATATAATGGATGGCCAATAAACTGATATGTTACTTTCTTCAAATGCAATATTGGAATGACTATATTTTGTTACAGAAAGTGAGTATAGTGATTGTGAAACAAGCAAACCAGTATTACCCATTACTCCGCATATTAGAAGGAGTAGGGCACAATCTAGCGATAGAAAGACGAGGAGTATAATCACAGAAGACCTTATTTCATGGGAAACACCAGAGAAACGTAATTATGTTCTTTGTTTTTTATGTATTTTAATTTGTATGAGTCTAAAGATGTTATATTTACATATGTTTGTACTTGAATTTCAGCTTCAAAACGGATTAGAAGGTCTCAAAATAAAAAAGTACAATCTCTAATCTAAAATTTAACTTTTTTTGCTAAAACATGTATGCGTAATTTTTAATAATTATATAACAACAAATTCAGCGTTTACCACCTTTTTGTTGTTGGAAGTTTAAAGTGTTGAAATTTTATTTAATTTATTGTAACTTACTATTTGATTATTCATTTTGACAAGACTTCATTTTGAACTACGCTAGAAATGATTGAAATGTGGAACAAAATATATTTAGAGATGACAGTAGTGTTTATACAAAGTTTGTACAAAGAAGGCTTGGAAAAGTACGGATGTTGTAAAATAATTTTATTGTTGCACAATAGTGATAATAGTGTTCATATTAATAAAATTTAATCACTTTTATAGTACAAAATCTCAGCGTGCTACATACTGTGCTACACACTGCTACATGCGTAAAAGCCTTCATACGTTCTACAACAAGATAATTTGTATTAAAACTGATATTAACTTTACTTATTAACATAACTGGTAACAATAACTATTTTACAAATAA